ATGAAGTACATATAGATTCTACCACTGATTCGAGTGTGATACGATATATATTTTTTTTCGAGACAGTAACATTGTCAAATTTAAAACGCAAGGCTTGCCAAAATATTTAAAATTTAATTGCCGAGAGTGGATAAATATTGTAATACACAAGATTTGGTGATGGAACCTTTTTATCTAATGATTTTTAAACGAAATGCAGACAAATTGAATTCTTTCTTTCGAATAACCTGAAAAAAGATGTGTTCTTTCTATGTAACGTCATCAGACATGGTCGCCTTATTTCATGACGTCAGGAAACTCAGAGGAAAGATTTGACGTCGAATTTTGACCAATGAAAAACTGATATCAAACAAACCACGCGTTGATAACAGTCATATGAAACGAGATTCTCGAAATTTTAATGTTATCGAAATTATTGAACCGATGCATGCATATATACTAAACATAGTCTTGCATGCACATTTTTTAATATTTATTACACATCTATAACGTATTATCGACAAATAATATTTCATTCGGTTGCTAATTAAATTTCGAGTTTGTTGCCGAACTTTACCGGATCGTGACATTGATAAACAATAAAATTTATACAGAGCACATGGAAAGCGTGACAGATAAGTGAATTGAAAGAGCTATGACATTTGTTTTTATATTTTCCATGCCTTCCCTTTTGTTAATTAAACTATTCCTTAACAGTTGTTAAATGATTTTTTGTATAAATTTTGTTCTTTAAGAATCTGTTAATTGTATTAACCTTCAAGAGCACGCGTGTTTGTTTTCTTTCATCACAGTTTTCCCCCTCGCACTTGCACTGTGCAATGGACGAAGTTATAACGAGAAGTCTCGGGTTAAAGGTCACTGCATACAGGAAAATATCGCCGAATTAGTGTCTGGGAAGTCAATAATTCAATTTCGGTACATTTATGAAGATTTTGACAACCTAAGGGATTTTCTTTTAAAGAAGGTTTACTTTCTTTTAGAGTAAAACTTAGACATTCAAGTTAAAACATGTTCATTTTTTTTTAATTTAAAGTTTCATATGACTTTAAATAAAAATAATCAACAGGTCAGGAAAAGGATAAATCGTGTAAGAATTAGAGAAATATTATTTATGATACTGTTAAGGCGATTTGCATTATACATGTATTACCTTTCGTAATGCCCTTATGCGATTGGAAATTCGGAACTATAGACATGACAAGATTTTGTTAGGTAGACGAATTTTCCTTACAACAAAGAGACTTTTTATACTACAAAATCGACAGATCGGGCATATTTTTCATTTGTTAAATGCTTTCGTTTGGGTTAAATTGGAATGATAACAGCACAACAAGACCGAACAATTTTTTTCTCCCTTAAACACACAAAGGCTTGTGTAGACGTGCATGTACTAAATTTTTTAGTCCTTCTACAAAATAATAACTTTCTCAAAAGATGAATACACATGGTATGTAAAGTGTCTCATATTTGTTAATAATGAGCTGTGCGTTAACATAATTTCAGATATAAAAAAAATTCATACAGAATAAAGTTACATATTAAAAGACAATTTTAAAGTAAATACAAATTCAGTACTATAAATCTGCGAACCTTAATACAAATTGTGATAATCTTTTAGAAAATGGTCAGTATAAGCAATAGATTTATGGTCCATATGATTTCAATTATCGAATCGAACAGTTCTTATTAAAAGAAATAAAGGCGCAACACTAGCTTAATTCAAACAAGAGCTTTTTAATTTAATGGTAAAATATTTGCAGAGATATATGCGTTTTACCAATTTGAGTTATAAATACCAATCATTTTGATATGTTGCTAATTTACGTTGTTTAGACTTACAGACGTGACAACACAAACAAACTTGTCGAATCTATGCATCACATGAATTGTTTCATTTCTGCTTAACGTAAGGTTTTTGTTTCTTTATGTTTATTAGTAACAATTCGAATAGAACGTATACAAAGCAGTAGGTCAATCAAACTGTCTTATACCTATCATTAACTAATTCTTTATTGCGCTATCTAGTTGTTAACAACTGCCCTTTATAGTACAACCATTCTATATAGGTTTATTCCTGTGTGTTAGTCGTCTAATGAACTAGTGGATTGACTTATTGAAATTGTGTTTATTTGTTAGGGTAATAAGTTGAATTATTTCAGTTAATATAACTTAATGGATATCTGTTTTCCCCGTTTACGTTTGTTATTTACAATACTTTGTCTTTCGCAAAAGTAGTAGGCATTTTCTTTCCTTAACCCTGGTCCAACAACAATGGTGTTTCTTATTTTGAAAAATAAACAGTTTGTAAGGCATAGAGATGTTACTTTAAAAAAAAACAATTTTATGGTTGTTCTTTGCTGATTTTTTTTGGAAGCTTGGCTTCCAAAATTTCAACCACTAGCATTATAATTGATTTTAGTAAACACAAGAGGTTATGGATTTGAGGTATACCATTTTCTTATTCTTTCAATTTTTATTCTCTATATATGAGCACCCCATAACTCTTTTGACTGCATATTTTCTCTACTTTTTGTATATGTTGCTCTTTATTCTGCACTTTTTACCAATTATTCTCTATTCTGTAAATCCCAGTAATAATAAGCTCGTGAATAGGAACACATGACAACCTGTCTTGTAAAGCGTTCTGTACTTTTAAGTTTCCGATCGTTCGTCCTATAGCGTATCTGATGAAGCACTAACATCATATCATTAAATTGTTGATGTTTTCTTTGTCTTTAAACAAAGATCAATACGGATTAGAGTTTTATCAAATAGTAACTGTATACCCAAAATATTTTTTTTTTAATTTGTTGACAGTTTCAAATTATTTATCCTTCGTTTTATCCCCTCATCTTCACTTTCTAGCAAAAAAGTCATGTTTTTTTTGCAGTATCGAATTTTAATCTCTAATTTGTTTAATCCATCTTAATCCTCAAGAATTATCACGTGATTGTAATATATAAAAGGTAAGTTCATCAAAACAAATTCTATCGATATACCTACATACATTGTTAGTAAGTGTAAAAGGTAAGTTTTGTTTACTACAGATAAAAGAAAAAATAAGTTATGAAAATTATACAACTTAAACCGTTCCTCATAGTAAATTTACATACATGTATCATTACACGGAATTAAAAAAAAAATCGCGGCTATTTTAAAAGTCGCCAGTTACATTTACACGTAAAATAGACTTTTAATAATAAATCTTTAAAATCTAATATTTCTCAATTGGGATATAATTTCAAAATATGAAAGATGATATTGTAATTTATCTTACCTCCTATACATTTCTAGAAATATGATTGATAAAAAAGTAAAAGCATGGAGACCGTGTATATTCCATATTGGGTTAGTAGGCGGTGCGTATTTCAATACACGGTTATTAGTGGTGTTACGTCCCTCGATAAAAACAACACGGTGTTGAGGAAAAATCTTAAAGGTTTCAACAGACGAAGAAATTGATGATGAACGATTTAAAAAAATTCATAAAACACATTTAAAGCTAACAAGCCTGTTATTGTTGGCATTTGTTTTTGTATAGACTAATGGAAGTAGGTTCTTAATACTAACGGTATCGAAGACTTAATTACTTTGAAAGGCCACTTGTCTAAATACCGCATGTTAAGATTGTCGTTGCATAGTGTGCTAGTGACCATCCCATATGGAATTTACTGACCCCATATATATCGTATTAGATCACTAGCACACTATATAACTAATACTATTGTAGTATTTTTCGGCGTCTGATGTGGCTTAAAAAAGTCTAACACAAGGAACCGGTTAAAATTGAATGCAAAACCATTGTTTTAAAAGTTTAACAAAGAAAAAATTACCAAACACATAATTATATGTTTACTATTACATGATTTCGTGAATGTGTACTCACTTTATTTACCCTTACAGACAATCTGTCGCAGCCACCTATGGAAAACCCCAAAAGCAATGTCGATCCTGTTAAAGCCTTTCGGAAGTTTATAGAACAAAGCTACTTCTTACCAAAGACGGAAGTTGATGAATACGCGCAAATATATTTCATTTACATTCAGCCAACGTTGATATTACTTTTTTTTGTATGGCAAATAATCTTATTTCGCTATTTGCATAAGAATGGTTACCTAAAGAAGTGTAAAATTTTAGTTGTATACACCACTACTGATCTGATGTCCTTTGCTGTCCAGTCTGCATCCTTTGCATATTTTCTTAATGTACCGAAATATTACGTGCAATACGAACTATGTTACGTATATGAAATTACAGCGGGGGGAATTGTACCAAAGCTTTTGTTTTCGTACTCGCAGTGGATGAAAACTGGCCAGGCTTTTGAGAGATTTATTATCATGTACAAACCATTTACCATAAGAAAGTTCTTAAACAAGAAAACTGCTATAGTCTTTGTATTGATGTTGACAATCTTTAGTATTGCAATATCAGTTTTCTACTCGATTAACATTGAATTCGATAAGGTTACGATAATCGATAAATACACGTTTGAGTTGGTACATATATGTCGTAGATCGGGTTTATTTAATTTAGAAAATCAACAAAACCCTAATATAGATTCGTTTCGCATTGTCACGATAGTTGATACCATTTTTACGGCTTTCGTTCCATTCATAGTGATGACTATGTGTGCTGTAAAAACAACGTTGATGATAAAAGAGCAAAGCAAGTTCAGAAGACAGCTAAATAATCCTAGAGCGGCTATGGAACAGGCTATGAATAGATTACGAATAGCTACAGTGGCATCAACTGTTTTTTTTGTGGTAACTTTGTTTCCGTCTATGATTTTAAGGTTATGTAGTATTCTTAATGTGCAAGTAAATCCGAAATTAGTTTATGTTTTTTCAATGTTATTCAATACCTTATACGTATGTTGTATTCCTGTGACTTTCATTCTTCATGCAATGCTCTCGTCAAAGTTCAGAAATATCTTCAAGAAAATAAGACAACTTTGCAGTCGAAACGTGAACAATACAGCCACCACAATTCAGCATTTGAAAATGTTTACTGGTAATGGTAATGATTATGGTAATGATAATGGTTATGATTATGGTAATCGTAATGATAATAATAATGGTAATGGAAATGGTAATGGTAATGAAAATGGTAATGATAATGGAAATGGTAATGGTAATGAAAATTGTAATAATAATGGTTATGTGAATGGTAATGGTAATGATAACGGTAATGATAATGGTAATGATAATGGTAATGATAATGGTAATGATAATGATAATAGTCATGATAATGGTAATGATCATTATAATGGTTATAATAATGGTAATGGTAATTGTAATGAAAATGGTAATGATAATGGTAATGATAATGGTAATGATAGTATCGAGGATGGTGATGTGCCAACATAATATTCACAACCGTACATTTTATATTTGTGACATGTGCAAATTAAACATGTATTATCATATTTTGTCACATGTGCATATCAAACATACATTTTTATATTTTGTGACATGTGCAAATTAAACATGTATTATCATATTTTGTCACATGTGCATATCAAACATACATTTTTATATTTTGTGACATGTGTGTATCAATCATACATTTTATATTTTGTGACATTTGTGTATTAAACATACTACTTTATATTTTGTGACATGTGTATATCAAACATACTATTTTAAATTTTGTGACATGTGTTTATCAAACAAACTACTTTATATTATGTGACATGTGTATATCAAACATACTACTTTATATTTTGTGACATGTGTATATCAAACATACATTTTTATATTTTGTGACAGGTGTATATCAAACATACTACTTTATATTTTGTGACATGTGTATATCAAACATTCATTTTTAGATTTTGTGACATGTGTATATCAAACATGCTACTTTATATTTTGTGACATTTGTATATCATACATACATTTTTTATGTTTTGTGACATATGTATTTCAAACATACATTTTTATATTTTGTGACATGTGTATATCAAACATACTACTTTATATTTTGTGACATGTGTATATCAAACATACATTTTTATTTTGTGACATGTGTATATCAAACATACTACTTTATATTTTGTGACATGTGTATATCAAGCATACTACTTTATATTTTGTGACATGTGTATATCAAACATACATTTTTATTTTGTGACATGTGTATATCAAACATACTACTTTATATTTTGTGACATGTGTATATCAAACATACATTTTTATGTTTTGTGACATGTGTATATTAAACATTCATTTTTATATTTTGTGACATGTGTATATCAAACATACTACTTTATATTTTGTGACATGTGTATATTAAACATTCATTTTTATATTTTGTGACATGTGTATATCAAACATACTACTTTATATTTTGTGACATGTGTATATCAAACATACTACTTTATATTTTGTGACATGTGTATATCAAACATACATTTTTTTATTTTGTGACATGTGAATATCAAACATGCATTTTCATATTTTGTAACATGTGTATATCAAACATAGATTTTTGAATTTTGTCACATCTGTATATCAAACATTCTATTTTATATTTTTGACACGTGTATATCAAACATACTACTCTATATTTTGTGATATGTGTATATCAAATAAACAACTTTATATTTTGTGACATGTTTATATCAAACAAACATTTTTATATTTTGTGACATGTGTATATCAAACATGCTATTTTATATTTTGTGACATGTGTACATCAAACATACTACTTTATATTTTGTGACATGTGTATATCAAACATATATTTGTGACATGTGTATATCAAACGTACTACTTTATATTTTGTGACATGTGTATATCAAACATACATTTTTATATTTTGCGACATGTGTTTATCAAACATACTACTTTATATTTTGTGACATGTGTATATCAATCATACATTTTTATGTTTTGTGACATGTGTATATCAAACATGCATTTTCGTATTTTGTGACATGTGTATATCAAACATACATTTTTATATTTTGTGACATGTGTACATCAAACATACTACTTTATATTTTGTGACATGTGTATATCAAACATACTACTTTATATTTTGTGACATGTGTATATCAAACATACTACTCTATATTTTGTGACATGTGTATATCAAACATACATTTTTATATTTTATGACATGTGTATATGAAACATGCCACTTTATATTTTGTGATATGTGTATATCAAATATACTACTTTATATTTTGTGACATGTGTATATCAAACAAACATTTTTATATTTTGTGACATGTGTATATCAAACATACTACTTTATATTTTATGACATGTGTATATCAAACATACTACTTTATATTTTGTGACATGTGTATATCAAACATACATTTTTATGTTTTGTGACATGTGTATATTAAACATTCATTTTTATATTTTGTGACATGTGTATATCAAACATACTACTTTATATTTTGTGACATGTGTATATTAAACATTCATTTTTATATTTTGTGACATTTGTATATCATACATACATTTTTTATGTTTTGTGACATATGTATTTCAAACATACATTTTTATATTTTGTGACATGTGTATATCAAACATACTACTTTATATTTTGTGACATGTGTATATCAAACATACATTTTTATTTTGTGACATGTGTATATCAAACATACTACTTTATATTTTGTGACATGTGTATATCAAGCATACTACTTTATATTTTGTGACATGTGTATATCAAACATACATTTTTATTTTGTGACATGTGTATATCAAACATACTACTTTATATTTTGTGACATGTGTATATCAAACATACATTTTTATGTTTTGTGACATGTGTATATTAAACATTCATTTTTATATTTTGTGACATGTGTATATCAAACATACTACTTTATATTTTGTGACATGTGTATATTAAACATTCATTTTTATATTTTGTGACATGTGTATATCAAACATACTACTTTATATTTTGTGACATGTGTATATCAAACATACTACTTTATATTTTGTGACATGTGTATATCAAACATACATTTTTTTATTTTGTGACATGTGAATATCAAACATGCATTTTCATATTTTGTAACATGTGTATATCAAACATAGATTTTTGAATTTTGTCACAACTGTATATCAAACATTCTATTTTATATTTTTGACACGTGTATATCAAACATACTACTCTATATTTTGTGATATGTGTATATCAAATAAACAACTTTATATTTTGTGACATGTTTATATCAAACAAACATTTTTATATTTTGTGACATGTGTATATCAAACATGCTACTTTATATTTTGTGACATGTGTACATCAAACATACTACTTTATATTTTGTGACATGTGTATATCAAACATATATTTGTGACATGTGTATATCAAACGTACTACTTTATATTTTGTGACATGTGTATATCAAACATACATTTTTATATTTTGCGACATGTGTTTATCAAACATACTACTTTATATTTTGTGACATGTGTATATCAATCATACATTTTTATGTTTTGTGACATGTGTATATCAAACATGCATTTTCGTATTTTGTGACATGTGTATATCAAACATACATTTTTATATTTTGTGACATGTGTACATCAAACATACTACTTTATATTTTGTGACATGTGTATATCAAACATACTACTTTATATTTTGTGACATGTGTATATCAAACATACTACTCTATATTTTGTGACATGTGTATATCAAACATACATTTTTATATTTTATGACATGTGTATATGAAACATGCCACTTTATATTTTGTGATATGTGTATATCAAATATACTACTTTATATTTTGTGACATGTGTATATCAAACAAACATTTTTATATTTTGTGACATGTGTATATCAAACATACTACTTTATATTTTATGACATGTGTATATCAAACATACTACTTTATATTTTGTGACATGTGTATTTCAAACATACTACTTTATATTTTGTGACATGTGTTTATCAAACATACATTTTTTATGTTTTGTGACATTTGTATATCATACATACATTTTTTATATTTTGTGGTATGTGTATACCAAACATGCTACTTAATATTTTGTGACATGTGTATATCAAACATACTACTTTATATTTTGTATATCAAACATACTACTCTATATTTTGTGACATGTGTATATCAAACATACATTGTTTTTTTTTGTGACATGTGTATATCAAACATGCTACTTTATATTTTGTGACATGTGTATATCAAACATACTACTTTATATTTTGTGACATGTGTATATCAAACATACTTTTTTTATATTTTGTGACATGTGTATATCAAACATATATTTGTGACATGTGTATATCAAACGTACTACTTTATATATTGTGACATGTGTATATCAAACAAACATTTTTATATTTTGTGACATGTGTATATCAAACATACTACTTCATATTTTGTGACATGTGTATATCAAACATACTACTTTATATTTTGTGACATGTGTATTTCAAACATACTACTTTATATTTTGTGACATGTGTTTATCAAACATACATTTTCATATTTTGTAGCATTTGCATATCAAAATATCTTCAGACGTTTTGGAAATAAATTTACCTATACATGTTATACTTTCTTCTGTTTTTGTAAAATTTCAAGTACTGTCTTCAACTTGTAATCTAATATTGTATGAGTATGAATGTTACTACCGACTGAAAACAACATTCAAAATCCACAATTTTGAGTGACAAATTTATCTAAATGATCAATACATTTACATAATTCGAGTATAAATTTATGAACTACAAAAACAATATCAACGTGACAATTTGGATGTGGTATACCGTTTGTAATATAAAAAAGAAGATGTGGTATGATTGCCAATGAGACAACTCTACATAAGAGACCAAATGACACAGAAATTAACAGCTATAGGTCACCGTACGGCCTTCAACAATGTGCCCATACCGCATAGTCAGCTATAAAAGGCCCCGGAATGACAAATGTAAAACAATTCAAACGATAAAACTAACGGCCTAATTAATGTACAAAATAATGAACGGAAAACAAATATGTAACACAGCAACAAACGACAATCAATGAATTACAGGCTCCTGTCTTGGGACAGGCACAATACATACAGAATGTGGCGGGGTTAAACATGTAAGCGGGATCTCAACCCTCCCCCAAACCTGGGACAGTGGTGTAACAGAACAACATTAGAACGAACTATACAAATCAGTTGAAAAAGGCTAAACTCATCAGATGGATACAAATAGAAATACATCTAACAAAAACACAGAGTGGACGTGGCCGTGTACTTGTACATTCCAACAACAAAAAGACACTAAGTACAGATAAGAGAATACTCGCATTTACTGACAGCTAGTTCAAAGCCAATAACAACTAATAAAAAAGAAAATCATTCATCTTAGACTA